AGAGAGAGAGAGAGAGAGAGAGAGAGAGAGAGAGAGAGAGAGAGAGAGGAGAGATATTGGTCCTGAGGAGGGCGCACGTAGGGACGACACTGGGTTAAAGTGATTACCAGCAGTGAGTGTAGAGAGGACAGATGTCACATCGTTTATTTTGGTTTATTTACGAGAGGCATCCGGGACAGGCAATGAAGTGGGTATGGCCGGAGCCATATCTCCTTCAAACATGAAGTTGGTGGAGGATTGATCCTTCCAAGAGAGATTGTCAGGGGGCACGACGGTCGCTTCCCACACCCCGTCGTCCAACAGGTTCACACAGACGTTCCCACACCACGTGGAACAGCATATGTTATTTGCTTGGCAGTCTTGGTGAGCCTCACACGGGCGCTTACACAGATACGGCTTTGGCCTCCTCTTACACTCCCCGATAGCCGGGAGATCTTGAATTACTGAAAAGAGCAACAAGAACGGGAGGGTGAGTAGAATGGCTGCCTAGAGAGAATCCCTCCCAGGCTTAAAGTTCCTTCAGCGTGCTAAGGTCCCTCTCAACACGCCTGGGTTTTCCAAGCACCCGTCTTTGTGCCTCTCACCAAGTCCTGGAGATGAGTTGTTTTCTGAACCCCATGCCCCATGCTACTCTCATCCCCTCCTCCACAGCTGCCAGCATCCCGCTCTTCGCTCTCCTCCCCTGGTTTTCCTCTTACCTGCATCGAGGACCAGTCTCTCCTAGTAGACAGAGCTTTGATGACATTACCTCTGTGGGATGGATATTCTTACTCAGCCCACAGAAACCTGAGACATTTCTCAGACCCCCTCCACTCTCCAGAATTTGCAGGGTCCATGAGGGTGACCAGTCAACCCCTGGCCTCTCTTTGCTTCCTTTGTTGTATCTTTCCAGTATCCCATCCCTTTCATAGTTTATCTTTTACTGACGCCCCTGTGCCCTTCTACCCCCACGAGCATCTCTGCACGTTTACCCTTCCCAAATATGCATCAATCAAGAACAATTGTCTTGTTTGTCCTTTGGACTTTCAGCCTTGGGGCCCCTTTACCACAGCAGGAACCCTTGGTTTCTGGATCTTTGGAACGAAGTGGGGGAAAATTGCAGGTTTACTCTCCACCTCTTCACTTTGTTTAGCTCTGGGATCCAGAGTGGGGGAGCTGTGATCACCAGGAGCCCGGACAGTGTTGGGGAGGAGCAGGGTAGGCAGTGGTGCCTCTTCCGCGTCCCTCCTGGCCTGTTCCCCGCCTCATCCAATCCCCTTACCTTCGTATTGCCTCCGTTTTCCGCGGATCCCTCCCTGGGATAGTGAGGACAGCAACAGCAGGACAAGGGTGAGCTGCGGAGCCCTGGACAGCATGGCTTGAAGCGAGCCCTTGGTAGGCTGAGAGCTCCGCTGGATAGCAGACTTCCCCACCGCGGGGTGAGGGCTCACTGCTGCCTATGCTGGCCAAGCAGGGGCAGAGCAACAACCTATCTCTTTTCCCTTGTCTCCTGATCTGTCCCATGTGGCTTTTCTCAGAAGATAACTCCTTTTGCAGTATCAGCCCTCTTTTCTTGCTAAGATAATTTCCATAATTGTGAAATATATTACTTGGGGCCCAGGCGATGGTTCAGTGGGTAAAGTGTTGGCATGTAAAAGTCGGTCTGGAGGCGAATGTCGGCTAGCCTGAACTGGGAGGGATGGTAGAGCGGATAGCTCGCTGGGTCTTGCTGGGCTGCTGGAGGGGAAACTGTGAGTGCTAGGTTCGTTGAGAGACTGTGAAATCTACCGCTAGTTTCCACATGCACATGCGCAAGCGTACTCATATATGTGCACACGTGCATACACTACACACACGAAGGGAAATATACAATTTATTTAATTTTTTTTTTGTTTTTTGTTTTGGTTTTCGAGACAGGGTCTTGCTGTGTTGCTCTGGCTATCTTAGGACTAGCTTTGTAGACCAGGCTGGCCTCGAACTCACAGAGATCTGCCTGCTTCGCCCCCCCCCCAGTGCTGGTATTAAAGGCGTGTGCCACCATCGCCCAGTCTATTTTAGTTTTTTTCATTATAAAAGATTTTGTGGAAAGAAGAAGAGAAAATTATGATTAAAAAGGCTATAGTCTCACCAGTTAAAATAGACTCATTTCTAAAATTTATTTGGTATATATCTCTGGGTAAATCTGTGTTGTATCTATGCACTGCAAGTAACGCCAGGACATCAGATCCCCTGGAACTAGAGCTACAAGCAGTTGTGAACCACCTGATGTGGGTGAATCAGTAAGACCTCTCTTTAAGGAACTGCAGCATGCTGCCTCAAGCAAAGCCCAGCTTAAAAAATGTGGCTGAACTTTGTTTTTTAATGTCTAGAATTCCTTTCCAAGCCCCTTCAGGTTTTAAGTGGATTTTAGTTGGCCATGTGGGGGCCAATCTGTTGGAGAAGGGGGCTGCTTGTTGGTTCCTGGCCACCCGGCTAACTTAGATATGAAATAATCACACAGAAACTGTATTAATTAAATCACTGCTTGGCCACCACAGCACTGTGAAGCCTCTGAATTTGGTTCATGGGTTTTTAGTTTTTAAAAACATCAAATATCTTTTCTTTATTCTTTGACAAGTTCATACCTGTATATAGAGTATGCTGATACCATCCATTCTCCATTCTCAACACTCACCTTCCACTGCTTTCTGAATTCTCAGCCCCCGATATGTCCACCTTTGTGTTTCTCTCTCTCTCTCTCTCTCTCTCTCTCTCTCTCTCTCTCTCTCCCTTTCTGTCTCTCTGCATACCAGAGAACCTACCTATCTCTGACAAAGCCCCACCTCTTAAAGGTAGCACCACTCTTACCATTGCTGCCCTGGGTACAACACCTCTGGCACAGGAACCTTCAGGGAACCATTTACAGACCATAGCAGGTACCATTGTCCTCCTCATCTGTAATTTCTCTTCAGTGTGTTTCCACACTCTTCATACTGTTGTAATTTCTCTTTAGTGTGTTCCCATACTCTTCACACTGTTGTGATTTCTTTTCAGTGTGTTCCCAGACTCTTCACACTGTTTTAATTTCCCTTCAGTGTGTTCCCACGCTGTTGTAATTTCCCTTCAGTGTGTTCCCACACTGTTCACACTGCTGTAATTTCCCGTCAGTGTTTTCCCACACTATTCATGCTGTTGTAATTTCTCTTCAGTGTGCTCCCACACTGTTGTAATTTCCCTACAGTGTGTTCCCATACTCTTCACATTGTTGTGATTTCTCTTCAGTGTGTTCCCACACCATTGTAATTTCCCTTCAGTGTGTTCCCAACTGTTGTAATTTCCCTTCAGTGTGTTTCCACACTCTTCACATTGTTGTAATTTCCCTTCAGTTTGTTCCCACACATTTCACACTGTTGTGATTTCCCTACAGTGTGTTCCTACACCCTTCACACTGTTGTGATTTCCCTACAGTGTGTTCCCACACTCTTCACACTGTTGTTATTTCCCTACAGTGTGTTCCCACACTCTTCACACTGTTGTTATTTCCCTTCAGTATGTTCTCAAACACTTCACACTGTTGTAATTTCCCTTCAGTGTGTTCATACACTGTTGTACTTGGGTTACCAAACCTGGGCCTCTGTCTTTGTACTGGCTTGTCCTCCTTGGTCACCAAGTCTGTGGAGACATAGCACATACTTCCCACTGCTCAGAGCACCAGGGGAACACAGAAAGAGCTCCACACATAGACATATGTTGTTACATGAAGTAATCCTGTGGGCCAAGTTTGAGAGGAGCCTGCTCTTTGAGCTTGACCTGTGTGTGTGTGTGTGTGTGTGTGTGTGTGTGAGAGAGAGAGAGAGAGAGAGAGAGAGAAAGAGAGAGAGAGAGAGAGAGAGAGAGAGAGAGAGAGGGAGGGAGAGAGAGAGGGGGGTGGAGGGGTAGAGGGGAACATTGGGTGTCCTGGTCTGTCACTCTCTACCTTATCCCTTTGAAACAGGCTAGGTTGACATTTTCAACCTGGCTAGGTGGCCAGCAAGAACTAGTGACCCTTTTGCCCATCTGCCCCAGTGCTGGAGTTACAGGCATGTGAGGCACTGTTAGGATTTTAAAAAAAATGTTGGTGCTGGCATCTGAACTCAGGTCCCAGGCTTGCCCAGCAAGCTCTTTTATCCACTGTGCCATCTCTCCAGCTCCTTCCATGTTTCTCTTTGCTATTTGGTGAACAAATCTCTCCACCTACCAAGCAACAACTCTGTAGCAAGATCTTGACTTTAGGTTTGATCAGTCCACTGCCTTTATTTGCTAGATGGCCAGCTAGCTTTTATAAAAACCCAGTTTCTTCACCTCCGTAAACCCTGGAGGGCATTTGTGGCAGCCTGGACTTTGGTCATCAAAGGAGAATCAATACTGAGCAGGATGCGATGATAAAGGTCAGGTCACAGAGCTGGATGTGGTACAACGTCCCTGTAATGCTCGCATTCTGGAGGTGGGGGCAAGAGGATTGCCATGAGTTCTGGGCAAGCCTGGGCTACAGAGTGAGGTCATTCCTCAAACACCACCTTCGCCAACACAGATGGGTACCTTTGACTCCCTTCTTGTGGGGGAACTCAGATGCTTCAGAAAGAGACTGCACCATGCGCTTGAGGAACTCTGGATCAAGACTGGAGCTGTAGACCGGGCACACAATGTCCCTCGCCCACCCAGACACCATCTGTGTCAATGCGACCGCGGTGCTTTCTGGTGGAAGGGTGCCAGAGAAAGAGTCTGTGATGTGGCCAACACGTAACTCCTGGGCTGAACTTAAATCTCTGCTACCACAAAAGTCACCCTAACTTCTAGGCCACTGAACGTCCGGCTTCCTCCCTTCTGTGCTCTGTTCCGGGTCTGGACAAAGCTGTGAGTACACTCTCACAAGCACCTGTGGAGGGCGGAGTGTGAGCGTCTCGAGGCATGAGTCTTATTTGTGGTTGGCTTAGCCTAGTTGCTGCCTGAATAGTGTCAGCACTATTCCCATGATATGGGTGTTGGTGTCCTTGTGTTCAACTGAAAAAACTGAAAAAGAGGTGTCAAGACCGACTCCAAAGGTAAACTTCAGGTGGATGCAGTGGTCACCTGCACGCCTGTCCAGCTGGTTTTTTTTCACATTGTGTACTTTTATGAAATTACAAAAGAATAAGTGAAAGGAAGGGGCAAAGCTGGAGAGGGAGGCTGTGAGTATTACCACTCTGAGGGGAAAGGCTTCCTCACTGCAAGTGATGCAATTCTTCTGGGGGGGGGTTGGGGTGGGCGGGTGGCGGTGAGGGGGGTGGGAAGAAGGTTTCCTCACTGCAAGTGTTACAGCTCTGTTCAGGTCAGAGGAAGGTTTCCCAAAAGTGTTACAGCTCTGAAGGGAAAGCTACTCTGGCAGATGGGAGCCAAGGACTATCATAAAGTCACACTGCACAACAAACCTTACACAGAGATTTATTGGGAGTGAAGAATAATGTAAAAGTATACAAGTGTATTGGTGGTCATCGGGTAGAAGAATCGTTGATATTCCTCTGTTTCCTCTTGTATTTTGTACTTTAAGAATTATACAATCTAAGGACTCGTTATTTTCCTTCGAGAAAGCAATGTCTTCTAAAAAGAAGCGATTTCACCAAAGAAGGCATATGTCATGCGAGATGGGAAGCAGCCCAAGGGAAACCGACGGCTAGCGAGGGAGTTGGTGTACATGTGGGGGCCAGCAGAACGGGAAGGGCAGAACATAGAGTAAACACGTCCCCCAGCGTGTCCTTCTCCTTCTTGCTCAGTCTGCCTTCGTTTCTTTTCTGCTTCTAGCAGCAGTGGATGAAGATTCGTCTTCCTGTAGATGTCAAGTCAGTGATGAGGCTCCGGATTCTCCTCCTGACTGTGCCCATCTATGGGGTTGTGGTGTTTCTGCACGTTCTGGGAAACCTCAAGGGTAGACATGGTAACAGTAATCGTATGACCCTCTGTCCACTCCTGGCATATCTGTCATAGCTGACTTAGGGCCCATATTTCAAAGTCGTCCTTCAGAAGGTCAGACGCTGACAACCTGAGTTCAGTTGCTGGAATGTGTGGTGGAGAGAACTCTCAAAAGTTGTCCTCTTGCCTCCCCATGTGTGCCATGGCTCACGCATGCCTTCACCCACATGCATACAGCACACACGCACACACACACACACACACTACAAAACTAAAAATCAGAGCTATCCTTAAGCAGAGACACCCCAGCGAGACTATACTGGACGCTTCCAATCTAGTGTCCCTTTAAACTCCGTCTGCATCTCGAAAGCATTACCAGGTTTGTGGAAAGAGAGCAAAACCTTTCTACACCACACAGAGCACGAGGAGACACAATTTTCCATCAGACCTGCTCAGTTTGAATCGTGTAAAGGAAGTATCAACAACCAAGTTTTTCTTTGCACTCATATTTCAAAATCTCTGTGCTTTGAGACACCCATGAACAGCACAGTGGTGATGTTAGTCACATCCTGCCGGGCTCTCTGGCAGAAAGAGCTGGGGCAGAGCCGGACCCACTGGACTCTCCCTTGGGCTGAGTGGAAAGTGAGGTTTCTACTGGCTTTGGTTCAGTTTTCCCATTTTGCAAGCTGGGTTTTATCAGTATAAACTTGGTCAGGTGGTACATGTTGGGAAGGCACCCCTGGCCTGAGCTTTAGGACCCAGAATCCCACAGTGCTCTCGTGACAGCTGGGAGGAGGGAATGCCTGTCGTACAAGGATGCTCTCTTAGAGAGAGACTGATTAGAAGTGTGTGTGTGTGTGTGGGGGGGGATTTTGAAGGACAGCCTCTGCTATCCTGGATTCTTCCTGGCATGGGGCATTCAAGTTCCAGAAGGGTTTGCTTGGTCTGAAGATCTGAACGGGTGTCTGCTGCCCATCATGAGTAAGTAGACCCTGGCAACCTCTACCATTTCCATTCCAGGTGAGATCAAAGAGGTCGACCAGTGCTGGGTACAGCCTCCCACAAGGTTTTGTGGGAAAAGGTGCACGAAGGTGCACGGATGTTTGAGACCGAACCACACGTGTTGCTGGACGTACTGTGGAAACATCTGCTTGGACGACGAGTGAGTGGCTGGGGTGAGAAGGCAGGGGTGGGGGTGGGAGGGATGGGGGGGTGGGGGGGCATGGGCACGCTTGAGTTCTGCTCCTCGCGCGCGCTATCCAACCCACTGATCAGAAGTCGCGGGAGACGGCAGCCACCTGAAGTTCAGTCACAGAAACAATCAGATAAAGCAAGAAGCGCCTATCTCTAAATCCTTACCTTCACCAAGAAACCAAGACACTGACGTGGGGTCGGGGTTTGCTTTTCCCACCGCTCTCATTCAGTTTCTTTGCTTCCCACACGACGTTGCCCACTAGTTCATACGTCCCTCGTTTGTCTGAAAGACCCGATCACTACTGGTTCCTTTTTCTCAGCCAGATCCTAGAAGAGCGTTTGGGGGAAATCACCTTAATTTTTTTTTTTAAAGTTTACTTATTTAGTGTACATACACTCAGATATGCCACCATGGGTGTGTAGAGGTCAGAGGACAGCTTGTGAGAGCTGGTTCCCGCCTACCTTCTAGGTCCTTGGGATTGAACGTGGGTGACGAAGCTGGGTGACATGTGCTCTTATCTGCTGAGTTGTCTTGGAGGCTCAGAAACTTGATTTCTGAGGACAACTTCTGATGTAACAGAGAATTCTGTCATTTTCCAGAGCCTCCAAGCTATTGTTTGGATATGGATTTATTTCTAGGGATACTGATGTCTAACGATCTAATTTTTCTCTTTCAGAGAACCGTTTAAAACACTGATGAAACTCTAGTCTCCATGCAGTCCACCGCTGGTGTGGGTTGCGGTGTGACCGACTGGGAGGAATGCTGCCTGCTTCCCTGTAGGGGCGCTCACTCCAGCTGGGAGCCTGTCTGCTCTCTCCTAATGTCTTTGCTCAGAGAAAGTCCGAGCTTTTGCCAAATAAACAAACATATCAACCTGAGGTTCTGTGGTTCTTACATATTTTGTGTTTTTTTAAGATGTGCGTCCTCTCTTGCTAGAAAGCCCCACAGTCCTAACGCTTGCTCCCATCCCGTTGTGAACACAGGCACAAGTCTGTCTTCTGTGTATTAACTAATTACTGCAGCGAAAAAGCAAAGAGGTTAACAAAAATTCCACGGCGCTGCTAAGCATGGTGGCGCACACTCGGCAGTGTGAGGCGGGAGATTGCAGGTTCAAGGTTAGCAGCAGCAGCAACAACAACAAGTTCACGAGACTAGCAAATTAAGTTAATTTACATTCAGAATACATTTTTCCGAGGGTCATCTGAGATGGGTACAAAGAGCTCCCAGGAGGGGCTTCTCTTTCTCCCATGCCTAGTCTCCTTCCTGCCCTACCGTCTTACCTGGCAACCATGCTCAACCATGCTCAACTCCCAAGTCATGTGTTCTGGGCTTTGCTGCCTGTGTTGCTTATCTGGACTGTGTCTGGATGTGACTTGACCTGGATGAGAATATTAGTGGACACCTTCCATGCATTCAACCTTATGCCTCTGTCTGGAACAGAGAACAAAGTGTGTGTGTGTGTGTGTGTGTGTGTGTGTGTGTGTGCCTGCCCTCTGGAGGGACAACGGCTGTTTTCTTCATGATACAAAGAAAGGAACAAAGGGTGAAAAGCACCAGGGACCGGAAGGGAAGGGATGTTCTCAGCTGGGGCTGGGTATTTTGCTTCAGTATCAGGTCCTTTTCCTACCTTTATGCGCCAAGCCAAGACACAAGGGCTGCAAAGGAGAAAAGACGTTGGTTGGTCAATATCAGCAAAAGAGTAATTTGGCACACGGTTGCTGCAGTCTGAAAGAATCATGCGGTGAGATTCCAGCTGATTAACGCAGAAGGCTGGCCCACCAGAACCAATGTGTTCTGATGGAGATAAACTCAGTCGCAAGGCGCTGGGCCTGCCACCTTTTGTATGATGGCTGATTCTTACAGCAGATCTCTTGCAAAGCCATAAGCACTCTCTTTTAGGGCAAGATTTAGCAGGACATAGATTACTGGGTGCAATTTTTTCCCATGTACTGGTATTTTCGGTCACCTTTTCCCACCCTGTGGGTCCCCGGGAGGGAATTTAGTCACACAGTCAATCGCCTCGGTTCCCACAGTCTAATCTCGGCTTCATTCCCTGAGAAGAACTTGGAAGTCAGCTCCCTCAGTTATCTTCTTGGCAGGACATTTGGTTAGGAGAGGAGTCCTTCATATGGCTCACACTCTGGACCTTCAAGATAGGGGTGGCACGTCCCGGCTCGTCTGATTCTTAGTCCTTCTTGATAAGGAGTCTGGTGCCCTAAATTCTCCTATAGCTGACTTGGGAAAATGCTAACCTTAGTTAACCCCAGTTCTACCCTAACAAAAAGCTATTAAATCCCCTTCATATAAATGCGTTAAGGACGTGCACCACCGGTTGCTTAGGCTTTGGTTTGGAATTCGTCAGATCATGAATTTTGTACAATATAACCATAAATCCCCATTGTCCCAACTATGAAGGGTGATATGAAGGGTCCAAGAATAAGAATATAAAAATGTAAATTCCAGAAACAAGAATATACAAATAAAGACATATAAAGTTGTAAGCCTAGGAGAATGAGAACAGACCATCAGCAGCCTTCTCAGCAGCTTGAGGATTAACTATTTATTAACAGTGGGTTACTCTGCTTTACAGCCCATAGCTCTATTTACAAGGTTAAAGCAACTCTCTGCAAACTGAGAGCCTAACATCCCGGCCATCCTTGATTAAAGACAGATATGAGCTGAGTTAACTTTTAGGAGACAGATCTATGACCTCTGGGTTACACATTTTCCCTGCTCTGTGAAATTGGCAGCATCAAAGGGGAGAGCGCAGGGCTTCAGTCAACACCGTCTGCAAGCACCAAGGAAGACAACAGATTAAGTACAACACTCATTTAACTGAAAAACTCTGTTAATGAAGATTGTAAAGTAAGGCATCTAAGTTTTACCTCGAGATTGTAAAAATTTCTTTGTTCAAACCTAATACCTGGTGCCCCAAGTACAAAAAGATGGGTTCAGAAAGCAGCCTTTGCCACAGCCTTACAGAATCCATTTCTGGCTGTGGTCTCAGCTAGCTGATAAGCTTTTTGTGCCCCATGGAGATTTTCTTATGTTATCTATTTATTCCTGGAATCTGGTTTCTGGAATAAAGTTTGCTTCTGGTTTATTAGACATTGGTGCTGTGTCCCTATCTTTGCATCACCCCCCTGGACCCAACAATAAAAGTAACGTTCAGTCTGATAAGTCCCCCTTTGGCTAGCTACACTGATGAAAATGCTAGTGCAGACCAAACACCACACATTTTCCTTTAGCAGTTTATCCCGGTTACGATGGCCACTATAAACAGCCTCTGTGGAGCAAAAGGGAGTACTCAGAGAGCACAGCGCTGTCGTGTTTCCTCCTCATTTTCTGCGTTTATTGATTACAAACTTCTAGCTTAACTGGCCACACTTAGGAATGCAGTTTAACATACCCACTTCCCTTCTCCCCTTTTAGAGTTTAGAAGCCTCCCAGAAGCTGCCTGGACATCTTTTCTGGCCACGCCTCCCCAGGGCCATAAAGATGCTGAGAGGGCACCTCCTGACTGTTATCTGCTTATGCCCCTGAGAAAATTCAAGCTCAGAGAATTGCCTTTGTTAGCGTGTGTATATAAGCTAGAAACTTCGCAGCACTAGGAGAGAACAAAGAACGTGATTTGAGCAGCATGTGTGGGAGCTCATTCAGTCATTTCTCAGACCAGGAATTTTCTTTCTCTTAAAATTAATATCCCACACAGTGGAATATTTCGAAAGCATAAAACCGACTGAAATCTTGCCATTTTCAGGAAAATGAACACAACTGGAGGAATCACGTTAAGTGAAACAATCCAGTTCTCTCACACGTGGAAATGAGAAGAAATAGAAGAACACATCCCGAAAGAGGAAGTGTGATAGGCTGGGAAGAAGGAGGAAGTCAGAAAGGGAAGGAAGGCTAGGGGCTAGGAGGAGCGTGCTCGTGACGTGCTAGTGACGTGATCTGGACGCATGCGTGGATGGAGGTGTAGCAGTGAGAACCATTTAACACTTATAACTCACTCATATATGTTAATAATTATGGTTACTATGATTCTGTGCAGAGAAGCTGAGGGATGCCTGAGGGGTCAGAAGAAGGTGGGCATGCAGACAGCGCAGCTCCTTAGCCAGCTACAAAGACACATGCACAAGGGCTGTGGTTTGTAAAGCTTGTTGGTTGGCTAAGCTCTCAGCCCTACTGCCTGGCGATGTGGCCAGTTGAGGCGGCGAAGAACGAAGCACTAAATGCCAGCGAGACACGAGCAGAACTAACTTTATTCATTTACTTATTTGTTTGTTTGTTTGTAGTTCACTGGAAAGGGTGTGTAGAGGTCAGAGGTCAACTTGTAAGGGTGGGTTCTCTTCTTCCACCACGTGGCTCCTGGGTATTAAACTCAGGTCACTGGGTTTGGTGATAAGTGTCTTTGCCTGCGGAGACCTTTCACCAGTCCATGCATTTCTTAAGGAAGAAATTATTTGGCGTCTTCGGTGGCATCGCAGCAGCCAGTACACCCATAACACAGGGAAAAAAGTGTACACGTTTGTACAAAATGGCTGTAGTTCTACAGATCGCGTCTTACCCGCCGCCAAGTGTGGAATAAATAAGTTGGAGTGCTTCTGAAAGCATGATTATGGAAATATGGGGGAAAGCTGAAAGGCAACCAAAACAATGAAAAAAAAAATGAAGTGTCCACGCAGAAGCAGTCATGGAGGAACTCAAGGACAAAGCAGATTAAGACAGGAAGCAAAGACCAAATGGTGACAGTCGTTTTTCAGAGCTGTGGACTTGTGAAGGGGTTAAAATGGACCAGTCAGAGAGTGACACGAGAAAGATGTTCCAATAGTGAGCCTGGGCCTCCCTCCAGAGCACTATTCAGGATAAATACGCATCCTAACTACATGTTTGAGAAGCTCAGAAAGCAGCTGAAAGGTATTTACACACCAGGCAAGGGTGAAACCGGCACACCTGAGCTCCCAGGAGCACTCCCAGCATCCTCTCCTCAGGATCCTCACATAGCTCAGTGCGCATGCCTCGGAAAACTGTCAACATCCAGCTTCTCCGTGGAGACGCAAAGAGAAAATTAAAGAAATACTTTCTGAGAACTCAAGAACAATGGCAATGGGTTTCTGATCCTACTGCACGTATTGGCTTTGTGGGAGCCTAGGCAGTTTGGATGCTCACCTTACTAGACCTGGATGGAGGTGAGTGGTCCTTGGACTTCCCACAGGGCAGGGAACCCTGATGGCTCTTTGGGCTGACAAAGGAGGGGGACTTCATTGGGGGAGGGGGAGGGAAATGGGAGGCGACGGTGGGGATGAGACAGTAATCTTAAATAAATAAATAAATAAATAAGAAATAATTTCGACATTCCAGCGTGTTTAGAGGGGCTGTTGTAGGGTCTGGGTTTTGTTTCACACGCACTACTGGAGTTCCCCAGAACCACACATACCCTGTGGAAGCCATAATCTAAAATGAAATAAATCAAAGCAGTAGGGGGACAGTCTCAGAAGATGGGTATATAGCAGGCAGACACTAGAGGGAGCCAGAGAAGACACAATCATAGTTTTGGTTTGGGTTCATGATTCCCAAGTGTTAAGAGTCTGTTATGGTGAGAAACAGCAGCAGATTTGGCAGTTGGGACAGAAGCTGAGGGCTCACATCTTAAATCACAAGCTTAAGCCAGAGAGAAACTAGCAATTGGACGAGTCTTTTAACTCGTCCGCCTCCAGTGACAGGCATCCTCCAAGACTGGCACACCAGCTAGACCTCCCCCAAAGAGCACCACCGACCAAGGACCGAGACTATGGGGGACAATTCATTGGAACCACCACACAGGGATTTATCAAAAGGTT